ATGTTATCGATCTCTGTCCTACTAATTGGCGCGAATCATGCAACATCAGACTTCCCATGATAATAATCAAAAGCAGGATTCGATACTTAAATCGATAAGTCGGACCACTAGGTTGTGACGTCACAAACCCGGATGGGCTCAATTAATTAGCAGTCGTTAAGGCAAGGTATCAGTTAACAAGGATATACGGTTATGTAAATGAGCAATTATGTCCTTCTTACTTTCGCCATCAATAATTAAGTGCACTTATTGTGTTTAAAAGGGATAAACAGGAAGGCTGTGTATAGACATACGAGTTAAAAATAGAAAGTGATAGTGAGATAGACTTGAGGGACAGATGCGGGGGTATATGGTGCAGAGTGAGAGAGAGAAAGAAAGAGAGACAGAGACAGATAAACCAATACAGAGAGAGAGAGAGAGAGAGAGAGACCGGGAGGGAGGGAGAGAGAGACAGAGAGAGGTACATAAACAGGGAAAGAGAGAGAGAGAGAGAGGGGAGGATGGAAAGAGAGCAAGACAGACAGACATAGAGAAAGACAGACAAGTAGGCAAACAAGCAAACACAGAAGAGGGCAGTTTTAGAGAACATTTGTGAACATTAAAAAGTTCGTATTATGCACTATGTTCTCTTTACAGTTTCCACTAAATTTGTTTTGATGAACTACCCGTTCAAAGTTTTTTTTAAAGAAGCGTTCTTACAAAGTGTATAGTTATTAGTTGACCTTCCCCGAGTACTTTTATAATACGTTTTTATTCTAATGATAATTTTTAAAGCTGGAATTTTGAAAAATTAAAAAAAAGAAAGATATTCTACCACAACATCACATTTATTCCATCAATTTCCCCTCAACCTCCCATCTGCCATCCCTTTCCTTCTCGTAAACAATTTCCTGATGCATTACAATAGTAAACACTTAACGTAATTGATATATTTGTTGTCACATTATCTTGTCCAGTTGAACGTTATTATTAGCTTTCATTTCAAAATCTTGTCTTGAAATGTCTTGAAATACTCCTACAAAGAGATCAGTTTTCTATTGTTTTAGAATTTATTTGTATTACTTAAGTTGAAATTAGTTACTCAAGGTATACATTTACCACTGTCACATGTTTTTAATAAATATTTGATTACATTTTCATTTCCTTTTTCCTTTTCCTCGTTTAAATTTAAATTGTTTTTGTCTGACTGGTCTTTTCCTCCCCCTCGTTTTGCTTCTCCTTCTTCTTCTCCTTCTTCTTCGTCTTCTTCTTCTCCTTCTTTTTCATCTTCTTCTTCTTCTTCTTCTTCTTCTTCATCTTATTCTCCTTCTTTTTCTTCTCCTTCTTTTTCTTCTTCTTCTTCTCCTTCTCTTTCATCTTCTTCTTCTTCTTCTTCTTCTTCTTCTTCTTCTTCTCCTTTTTTATGAATTGTTTAATGGTTACTTTCTCATGTATTACGTACTACTTGTTGTTGATTATTGGTATATGATTCATTTATTATATTAAGTGCATCACTGTTATTTTTTTTTATCTGTTTTAATTATTATATGTATTGTAAATAAAGTTTTACTTTCAAAAGTCAAAAAAGTCTTCTCCTTCTCTTTCTTCTTCTTCTTCTTCTTCTCCTTCTCTTTCAATCTTCTTCTTCTCCTTCTCTTTCATCTTCTTCTCCTTTTTTTCTTCTTCTTCTTCTCCTTCTCTTTCATCTTCTTCTTCTTCTTCTCCTTCTTTTTCTCTTCTTCTTCTCCTTCTCTTTCATCTTCTTCTTCTTCTCCTTCTCTTTCTTCTTCTTCTTCTTCTCCTTCTTTTTCATCTTCTTCTTCTTCTTCTTTATCTTATTCTCCTTCTTTTTCTTCTTCTTCTTCTCCTTCTCTTTCATCTTCTTCTTCTTCTCCTTCTCTTTCATGTTCTTTTTCTTTTCCTTCTTTTCTTTTTCTTCTTCTCCTTCTCTTTCATCTTCTTCTTCTTCTCCTTCTCTTCATCTTCTTCTTCTCCTTTTTTTTTCTTCTTCTCCTTCTCTTTCATGTTTTTCTTCTCCTTCTCTTTCATGTTCTTCTTCTTCTCCTTCTTTTTCATCTTCTTCTTCTTCTTCTTCTTCTTCTTCTTCTTCTTCTTCTTATTCTTCGTCTTCTTCTCTTTCCTCTTCTTCTTCTTCTCCTTCTCTTTCATCTTCTTCTCTCTTTTTTTCTTCTTCTTCTTCTCTTTCTCTTTCATCTTCTTCTTCTTCTTCTCCTTCTCTTTCATCTTCTTTTTCTTCTTCTTCTTCTCCTTCTCTTTAATCTTCTTCTTCTTCTCCTTCTTTTTTTCTTCTTCTTTTTTTCTTCTCTTTCATCTTTTTCTTCTTCTCCTTCTCTTTCTTCTTCTTCTTCTTCTCTGTCCTTCTCTTTCATCTTCTTCTTCTTCTCCTTCTCTTTCATCTTCTTCTTCTCCTTTTTTCTTCTTCTTCTTCTCCTTCTTTTTCATCTTCTTCTTCTTCTCCTTCTCTTTCTTCTTCTTCTTCTTCTCTTCTTTTCATCTTCTTCTTCTTCTTCTTCATCTTATTCTCCTTCTTTTTCTTCTTCTTCTTCTCCTTCTCTTTCATCTTCTTCTTCTTCTCCTTCTCTTTCATGTTCTTTTTCTTCTCCTTCTTTTTCTTTTTCTTCTTCTCCTTCTCTTTCATCTTCTTCTTCTTCTCCTTCTCTTTCATCTTCTTCTTCTTCTTCTCGTTCTTTTTCATCATCTTCTTCTTCTTCTTCTTCTTCTCATCTTATTCTCCTTCTTTTTCTTCTTCTTCTTCTCCTTCTCTTTCATCTTCTTCTTCTTCTCCTTCTCTTTCATCTTCTTTTTCTTATCCTTCTTCTTCTTTTTCTTCTCCTTCTTCTTCTTCTTCTTCTTCTCATCTTATTCTCCTTCTTTTTCTTCTTCTTCTTCTCCTTCTCTTTCATCTTCTTCTTCTTCTCCTTCTCTTTCATCTTCTTTTTCTTATCCTTCTTCTTCTTTTTCTTCTCCTTCTTCTTCTCTTTTGTCTTCTTCTTCTTGTTGTTCATTTTTCATTTTCTTCCCTTTTTCTTTTTTCTCCCCTCCCCCCACCCAATTTCTCCCCTTTTTCCTTCTTCTAGTTAGTTATGATTATGGTTAAAAGTTTTTGTTATTAATTGCTTTTTTTATTTCTTTGATTATATTTGAGCTTGTGACCCCCTACATTAGAAACATAATTATGCAGGCAAATCCGTTATTTGTTTGAAAATAACATGATAAGGAAAAGAATAATTGTCAATTCCTTCAACAAAATCCTTAAACCAATGATAGGGGTAGCATTCTGTGATAAACTATCAGTACAACCAATAAAGTAAGCACTGAGGAGATGCATTGGAATATAACATCGCAAAATTCTGAATCTTTTCTGACATGAGTTGTGGTATCTGGTTCATCTGAACTCATAATTATTGATGAATGGTAAACTTGATTATCATCATCTTAATACAATCTTTACGATCATTATGCTGATTTTTTCTCCATTTTTTTTCTTCATTTTTGTTCTCAATCAAATTCACACAGTATCCTTCAGCAGCTTGCACTGTAATACTGATATCTGTGAAGCTTTGCCCATGATTTACTTTCAATTTCAATACATCATACTTTCGATTTCTTTGAATGGGCTGCGGCGCAGTCAACGCGTTTGTGGGGGTTGGAGGCGGGGCGCTCTAAATTTTATCCTTTTCTCATGCTGAGGGAAAGAGAAAATTCGCAACACTGTGCCTACCCCATGCTCAGTCCAATATAAATGAACAAAATTATGATCATTTTGCGGAGAATGTTTTGCTATAAACGAAATTTAACCTTTGACATGTCTTTTTTTTTAGAAATTGCGCCCTCAATCAAGAAATGACTTGATACCTCTGTAATATATGATTAAGATGAAACCAGCATAAAAGGGTGGCTATTTATGGCAATTAAGTTTCTGAGAACGTGAGAACAGCTTCCTTGCGGAAGTTGGTAAAAGTATATATGAATCAATTATGGTTAATTTATAGAGTGTATATATTGAAATTGATGATGTACGATTGGCATTTTCAACGTTTTGAAATGGCATGAAGAAAAATCAGCAAAGGAAACAAAATAACGAATACCAAGTGTAATATTTGTTTTATTAATGATAACCGTAAAAGAACACCCCTCCCAATACAAAAAGAAAAAAAATCAAGTGAGTTAATGTTGGGAAAGGTATTTGTATATTGCTTTGACTATTTTGTGTGATATTTACATATTATGATGTAGCTTCACTAGCTTGTATATATCTCGAAGTGGTTTTCCTTGATGTAACAGTTTGTGTTGCTCTCTCTTTCCCTTCTTTACCATCCTTCTCTCTGTGTATCCTCTCCAATTTGTTTCTCCCTATCCATCTCTTTTTCCAACTTTAATCTTAGTTGGACCCCTTTTTTCTAACTGCACTCCATCCCGGCATATTACTTCATTCCTCATTCTTCCCTTCTCTCTCTGTTTTTCTTTCGTCACACTTTCTTGTATATTTGTAAGTACATATAGTATTACGAGCCTCGCTTCGCTTCTATTATGGGCCCCCCCCCCTTCATTCCTCCCCCACACTCTCTCTCCAGCTTGAAATAAACACGAATTCTCTTTCATTTGATGATACAGGCTAAATATTGCATAATAGTTATCAAGATGTTAAAACCTGTGACATTCATAACTGTGTTTTCAATTGTATTATGTTTTGCACTTATTGTGTTAAAATTGTTTGAGATGTGTGGAAATGAAAAAAAGATTGAAACTTGAAACTTGTGGGTTCGAGCCCTGGTAATAGTGTCATTTCGCAAAAACACTAACCTACATTAATTTTGCAGCTCTCCACCCATGTTTTAAATGGGTACCAAAAGGAAGCCATCCCTTTAATTCTGTCTTTGAGCACCTCCCAAGGTGGATAACAATTATGAGCTATACAAAATATCAAATATTATGATATTCTCACTCTCACTCACACTCGTGTTAAAAGCGACATACAAAATGAAACAAGATTTTTTTTCTTCTTTCATATCATTTTATTACAAAAGGCAAATCTTTAATAAATTACTAGTATGCACAGAGTAATACATATTATTGTACACGATAATAGCTTTCACATTTCAACTGTATGTAACATATTTATACATCATTAGTTTTGCTGTAATTCTAGCTATGAAAACATGAAAGAGAAAGTAATTTGGCATCAAGTGTTATTCCCATGGTCGGTCCATAGTCTGATTGACAGAAAAACATACGGTAAAATAATAATCAAATATATCCTATTACTATTGTATTTAAAGTGATCGTAACATTACTGTTAAGAAGTCTCAGGATTATAATGTCCACGGGTGAAGATTTAGCGTAAAAATTTGTGTAAACCATTGGAATGAAACATTTCTATTACTATTAAAGCGCATTGATTCACATGTTCTTCTTTATAAACAATAGACCAACAGGTGCTCTGCGTAAATACTTCAATACTAACAAATTAATACAAAAATATAATTGCTCTTTTTATATACATTCACAAAATATACAACACAATATTCTATACAACAGAATGATGGATCTACCAATAAATGTAGTGTAAATTATGAATATAATACTCAAGAAAATCAAGAGTACATAATTTACACAATGATCCAAACTTAATTAGTACATGAAGTGGTCAAATTGTTGTACAGTCATACATAAATCATTTACCAATAAAAGTTAACCATTGTGTATGAAACATAAAGATTACACTCACTGCTGTACACTTTTCACAAAGAACTACACACATGGCAGTAACTCTTTTGGCAAGAATGTGAACATTTTAAGATATTTGACGGATAGATGTTAGTTATATTATTTAAAGCCGGAGGAAAATGTGTTCATTATGCCAGTCGCAGTGTGAATGATAATAATATTTGTCAAACTATTTATTGAAAAGCTTTTGTCAAGATGGGCACATGAAGAAATACCACTCACTGGAGAGCAGTGAGAAATGCAGGTTAAAGCGTAACAAAAATAATCGTATAATAATTACCATTGTGCTTGAAACGAAAAAGACAGTTTAAAATATATATTTAGTTGACGAGTCTACTGGAACATACAAGTTGCTCTTTGTGTGTTAACTATGCGATAATTATGAAAATCATCATTTTAATTATACTAGATAAAGTGTACAATCCACGTATTAATTATGTGAGATATGCTACTTTTATTTGTTTTCCATTTGTTTGTATTGAATGCTCAATAACTCTACTCGTAAATTTCCTAGCGCATGAATTAATGTACCCTTGGCGTAGGCCTATGCTACTCGGCATTTAAATTGGCAACGTTCGGCAGTTTGGCAATCTTCGCTGCCTACATACAGCGAAAAGACGCCTGTCAATCTAAGATGTCTCGTATGACGTCATAATAGGAAATAGTTCAGTTATAGCAGGTTAACTTTTGTATGTACTGACAAGTTTTCAAGATTTAATTTCCTCATCGTATAATATGGATAAGATTATCAATCAGAGAAATGAAAATAATGTTGGATTAACAAAATGAAAATAAAAACTCATCAAACGACATCGTTTTTTAAAAACAAAACCATCTCATTAAAAAACATAAACTATCAATCTGAATATCAGATCACAATAATAGAATTCACCGTGACACGGTGGGAATTTCTTGTGTAAATTCATTTACACGAATGACGGTTTACAGCGCCATTACTGAACAAGCCATTGCATTTCTTTTATAAGCTAGTATTGGGTATGACAACACTCCGTTACAATTATCAAACAAACTGATAAACAAATAAATCTCTTACAGACAGCGTATCCTGCGATTCTGATATAGTCCTAGATTTTCTCAGAACACCTTTATATAGATTCACTTTCACAATGTTGTCACTGCGTCCTGTTTTTTTCCTCTTAAACCAAACATCTGCTGCCTTTCCGACAAACAAACAAAAAAGGGGACAGAAATTATTACCACGTTACATCCTTAACAGGAAAACGCTTTATCACAAACTATGTTATAAAATAGGTCTATAACTTCAGCCTTCAGGGCATATAACAAAGGGGTGCCAGGGTAACAATAGCCCCTTAAGGATTTTCCTAACATTATACGAATCCTGTGGGGCGAATGCTTACACGCCCGTCAGGCACCGTCCCTGTATAATTTTACCCAGCAGTCCTACTGTGCTATTATCCCAACTCAAATGACTTTCCCTTTTCCTTTTAGCATGCCTTGAAGGGCATTTGATAAAACCGGGAAATAACTATTCTTCTCTGCGTGAAATAGTACCCTCATAGTTTAGTACGATAATAATTTATGTGCTATTTGTACATTTCCTACCACATAGTTCTGAATATTGCACAAACGAACTTCTTTGATCTTTTTCTCCTACTAGCTCTTCCCCCGCTAGGCGGAGATCAAAGTTCAACTTGCTGCTGCAGCCCCGGCGTGATCGGGCGTCGTCGAACGCAACATGAAGACCCCGAAGAAGGTCTTGTCGCTCCCGGTGTTGATCCGGAGATTGTCATTGGATACGCTCACGGTGATCTTATCGCCCTTGTCGAGATGGAACACGCCACCGTGGTACTTCGTCGCGTATTCTTTGAAAGGGACGACGCTCTCCATCAGCGGGACGTGGTTGCGATTCGTAGAAGAACGCTGCAGCAGAGAATAAAAAGGGAAATGACGTGGGTTATGATTTGCTGGAAACAAGAGCCATATTATGTACACATAATTTGGCCAACTTATAGTTTCGGTTGGTCACAACATGGTGCATATTCTTTTCTTTTTTGGGTGCTATATTGCCCTACAAAACAGTATTAGCCATAGCCATAGAATATGCCCAACTCGAACCGAGTTGGCCAAAATATCCTAACCAATGGCTAACTATGGAGTCAGTATGGACACAAGTTCATACTGCCATAGTACCATAGAAATATGTCTGTCTTAATATGTCGATTTGACCAAAGCCTCTCGACTTTTCATTTCCGCCTGACAACCTAACTTAGACATTAAAAACCCCATGTCGTATGTCGTATGTATGTATGTATGTACGACTACGTGAGGATCATTTCTAACACGACAAAGGTTTTAAGGATTAAGGTGGCGGGAAAGATGAAAAAAAGTTCAGATGACGCAAAGAAAAGATAGATTTGGACAGTCGTCTTTGAAATCATGAGAACTTTAAAGAGGCTGTAAGAGGAAAAAAGGAGTAGGAGGACGAGGAGGAAGAAGAAGAGGACGAGAAACATTTGTTTTTTTTTAAATGACTATTTACCATGGGCAACGCCTGCTGAGATGAGGGGTCAACTGTCGCTCCACTTTCGGAATCACTGAAGTAGATTTGAGTGTAGACGTAGTAATAACCCGGCTCGACGATTTCAATGCCGTAGGTGCCCAAAAAGTTCACGTTGTGCGTTGCGTTCGCTTTCCATTGAGCTAAGCATTCTAATAAACGAAAAAGAATAATACAAGTATTAAGTATTAGTAATAATGAGGACAAATGTTTTAGAAGTTTACAGTCAATTAATAACAATGATGATAATAGTGAGTTTTCTTCTATAGAGCTCATATCAGACTTAACCACCCTGGCTTTCCACGAAACTGTCATAATTCCTCCAATAGGCCAACCCCCTTCAATATATATATATATATATATAATATATATATATATATATATATATATATATATAAATTATTATTTATTTACATGGAGGCATAGCTAAAGTTCACAATAAACGGAGTGATAAAGAGAGAATTAACAAAGGGAAAGTAACAATGTATTTTTTAATTTTTTTAAATTTATTTATTTTCCACATATGGGAAGGATCACCCTTTTCAGCTAAAAGCTGGTCTTCAAAGGGGTCCAAAAAAAATGTAGTCTACAAGATGCAGACTTTAATCAGATTTTGATTCAGTCTCGATAACGGACACAAAGACCAGGATCGCGAAGACTCTCAAGAAACAAACCCATTGACAAGTGCAATTCCAACACCCTATAGTACATTTCATCCCATTTCAGAAAGTCTGGGATCGAGTTAAATTACAAGACTAAAAAGTGAAAGAAGTGATTGAAGTATAAAAATGAAACAAAATATTATGTTCTTTATTCCTTACCCAATTGCCTATCGTTTCCTCTCGGCCCATTGTCTGCCCCGACAATGTGAGCGTAAGCCGCTGATTTCGCTGCTTCCTCGTGTGATGGTGATGGCATAGTTGTTTGAGGACCATCGAATCGGGGTGAAGGTGAAGCACCATGTTGACTATCTGAATTCTACACGAGAAACGGACATAAAGGAAGGGGGAAATTATTTAACAGAGTGATTTACAAGTTGATAGTGGAGCATAAAATGGTATTCTCATATTACTTTAAAAAAAGAAGATTGAAAATGAGATGGTAAGTTTGAGAAAGAGTCTTTGCTTCAAGAAAATAAATGTTTCAATCTTTTCAGGCCTATGCAAAGATTGGGACTTTATGGGAAAATAATAATTGTCCTCTTTGTAAATGTAAGCTACGTGAGAGTCACTTGTATTTGTTTCAAAAAGTGAATTAACATTGTTTGGGCATTTAGAAAAGCCATAGCAAAACTCTTCCTCCACTTTTTTACATCCCCACGCAGAATGTATGTTTTCAGCAGCAAAAGTTGGTTTCGACATCATCTCTATCTTCAAAACTGAAAGCTGTCGTTCTAACAACGTGTTGGATTTTTAATGAGCAGTCTGAGTACACAACAAAAAGAGAAATTAAATGGCAGTTCTTTTCACATAGGCGAGATTTTCATATAGGCATAGCCTATTTTGTACTGAAAGCAGTCAGTCGTATGACAATCTTTCTCATCGTGCATGGAAACCTACTGAAAAATACTGAGTAGGACTTTTGTGCTTGAATATTTGGTTAAATAAATAATAAAAAATCCCAATGGATGGGTGGAAAAACACCTAAATGTTTTATTGAGCAATGCGAAATGCTCCAATGCACGCAAGGGACTTTTTATCAGTTCTATTGACAATGCTCATTGAACTATACAAATAGTCAATAGCCTAAATCCGAAGGCAGAGGGTCTTTTTCGCAGAGTTTTGATACGAATGTAAACAATTATCTAAAAATAGGAAGGTGTTTTTGTGTTCAGTTGGTGCCCGTACCTGGATAAGGTTATGTACACTGTCTATAACTAATAATGATATTACTTTAGTGATTATTTTTGGATAATGATAAAGACTTTGATATTATGATTTCGTGATAACTGATTATTATAAGTGCGTGCTTCTTCGAATCGAAGTTTGAATAAATATTGATTAAGTAAACAATTGAAAGATTTTCGAAGAAAATAGTGATAAGAACAAAGTATATACTGATCAAGGATATTTGGACGGGGATGAAGAGTATATGCACGTTGGTAGCCTCAATAATATTGATTGATATAATTATATTATTCAAAGAGGTGAAACAATTTCTGATTTACAACGCCTATAATAATAATTACATCAATTTAAACAGCACAGCTTCTATCATGACTAATATACTCTACCGCGCTGTGGTTAAAAAAAACTACTAACAGTGCTACTTTACGGACAATATACCAAAAACTATTCAAAAGCTTCTTAAAACAAGTGCGTCTTATAACCGTTTGTTAACAAACTTTGAAGACGACAACATAGCTTAATCAGAGTACAACGTTCACAAGATGTAACTGCATGTGTATCAAAACCTGTTAAATCGCTGTTATACCACATACCATAGATGGGTTATAGAATAAAGCGTATAATATCATAGTCTCTTTGATACAATTCTGTTTCTATCCTCTCTCTTCAACCTCCCTTTCTGTCTGTCGCTTTGCTTTTCTACTCCCAAACCATACATGTGCTCCTCTAATCCGATCTCGCACTCTACCTCCAATATTATGGCTCTCTCCCCACCCCAGGTTTTTTTTTTCTCTCTCTCTCTCTCTCCCTCTTACCCTATCTCTTAGTCTCTCCCTGTCAAGTCTGTCTCACCGTCTCTCTTTATATATCACTCTATCTTTCTATTTCAAGCTTTCTCCTTTTCGCTCTCTCTCTCTCTCTCTCTTTCTCTGTCTCTCTATCCCACCCTCTTAACTTACCGGATTGAAAGCCTTCTCGATGATTTCCATCTCGTGTCCCAGTCCATGGCTCTGCACGTACAGATAGAACGTGAAGCAAGAGACGATCAACGCCAGAATCGCCGTGATGAAACACACTGCGATGGCGCAGGCGGTCGGGTTACAAGTACTATTACTAATTTGTTTCGCGCCGGAACTCAGCTTCCTCGAAAGCCGTCTGAAACTGCGATGTCGGTCGAGATGATGTCGCTCCGCCAACGCCGACGACGGGATCCAGACGGAGGCGGGACTGTCGTCGTGACCCATGCGGGCTTCTAAGTCCATCTTCGGTACGGTGGTCGATTTTGCTCGGTACAGTTTGGTCCTAAGCTTCTGAAGCAACGAAAGCATTGGGTACGGGTTATAGCTGTGGATGAGAAGCTCTCACAACGAACAGACTGTTACGAGCAGAATGAAATGAAAACTTGCTAAGTGCTCAGAGTTTCTGTTGAGAAGTAGACAAAAACCGAAAATAAACTGAAGAGTCCTTGTGTCTAAGCGTTGCTAATTGAAAGTTAGAAGCTGCAAATCTGAGTGTGTGTTCACGGCAACAGCTTGGTGGTCAACTGATGAGTTCGGGTCGATAACTAAGCTAGTAATCAATCGATTGGGTCCTAGTCGTTATCTGTGAGGTCTTGGACTTGGGATGACTCATGGGGATCCCTCGATAGAAAGAATGTCAATGTGTATTGCGAAACACGTCTCTGAATACTAGTAGAACTTGGATTCAGTTTCCTTTTCGCGAACGGACGGCGGGGAAAACCACAGCTCTCAACTTAGATCACTTCAGGAAACAAACAGAAATAACCGCGGTTTGAACTTCGTGCATGCATTCAGGCTTTGCATACATGCATAAAACGGTAAAATATGAACAGTTCAGACAGATTTTGAGGAGTAATGTTGTTGTGCCTATAATCGAGTTTGCGCCTATAAATGCAAATTTAAAAATGATGCGAATAAAACTCTCAATCTTTATCAATTCTAAACGATTTCGAAAATGAAGATTCGCTTGTTTGTCCTGGGAGAGTTGATGTTGCTATAGTCTCTGCTGAAGTGTATAATATGATTCTGTTCAGGGCATGCAGCGATGCTTTATACTATTGTGTGCGGCGTGGAAAAACCAACGGGGATTCCCCGCATGTTCACCGCGTTACCCTTATTCGTAGTGTGCAGACCCTTTAAGGAACCATGACGTACGCGCATGTCAATTTTAATCAATTTTTATGCTATTCATTTTAACTCTCCGTAAAGATTCTCATCTATTCTTAATTCCTCACATACTAACAAAAAATCATATCCAAAAGTTTCCATGAATAGTCTCAAATGAACGTGAGATACATTTAGCTTGCACAATTTCAAACAAAAGGTTTATTGCTGCAAACTACTAGTAACATGAGCTATGACATCACTGCGCGCATGCGTACTCACAAGAAACTGTTTACTGCTCCTGATCATGTTTTTGGTAAAAATGCTATTATACATCTCGCTTCCCCTCTCTCTCTCTCTAGCCCCCCCCCCCCCCTCTCTCTCTCTCTCTCTCTCTCTCTCTCTCTCTCTCTTCTCTCTATTTCCCCCTCTCTCTTTCTCTCTCTCTTTCAGTCCGTCTGTCTGTCTGAATATATTTTTCTCTCATTTCTTTTCCACTCTTTTCATGCAGCCTATATATTCTTCATTGACATTGATCAAACCTATCCGCTGTTAAACACTTTTGAATGTATAGCATGTCCCTGGTATGCTCATCACGTTTATATAACGTTTGTCATTATAAAAAGAGCTTCCTTACTTTCTGTGCCTGTAACCCATATTATAGTGACCCTATAAAAATAACCTCTCAACAAACTTATTCACTTCGGTCAAAATACTCTCTCTCTCTCCCTTTTCTCTCTCTCTCTCTCTCTCTCTCTCTCTCTCTCTCCATTTCTCTCTCTCTATCTCTCTCTCTCTCTCTCTCTTCCTCCTTCCATCCCGCCCCTTCTCTCACTTACTATCACAACTCCCCGACTCCCTCTCTCTCGCTCTTTCATTCTCTTTTACTTCCCCCACTTTCTCAGCGAAAGCATTGTATTATAAAGAGGTCGCACGTCACTTTTAAAACAACGGAGCATTTCCTTCCCGTCTTGTCTATTTTGAGCTTCCTCAATTAAGAATAGCATCCCCGGATGTACTTGACACCAGCCAATGGGAGTTCATCAATCAACTTTCAATTAGAACGACGCGTTTGACGTCACAATTAGAATCACCAATCACGATGTTGTCTCATAAAGAGCATTTTCACGTAACATAAAAAAAACGTGTAATTAAACTCTTCACAGCGATTGAGTGAAGCGAAAGGGAAACTAATCACAACCCAGGGCAAAACAAAATAGTCTTGTTTATTCCGGTAATGCTTTTATCGGAGCGCTACTTTTATGTTCGTTATCATGAGACTTTGACATTGATGCGAATCTATGCACTTTTTGCACTTTTATGTGGTTTTTATATTCTTGTTCAAGAGAAGGTGAAATGTTTGCTCCATTGTCTCTCATTTTCAAGGTCAATTACGTAGTAGGATGAACGAACTTATAGCAAACAGTTGAACAAAGTTGAAAAATAGCAACATTCATGCTGCTTAATAGCCTGGACCTACTTTTACTTGCCTAAAAAGGCGAGGGTCAAGCGATGATCTTCTCAAAACCCTCCATAATAAGAAGCAATTATTGGTCATTTAATCCAGAGATAATTTCGAACTAACTCCTAACAAGAGTGAATGTTGAGTTGCCGTTTAGGTCCCCCAAAACGTGTTGTATTTGTTGGCAATTTTATCAGAATAATTTTCCAGACTATACTAAAGTAAAAAATAAAAATGAATAAATAAATCAAGAAAAAAAAAGGAAGAAAAAAAAAATCCGTTTTACCCGTTGATCAAGTTAAAACAGATTTTTTTTATCAGGAATTTTATTTTCAATTTTTAAATTTATTTGTTTATCTAGGCGCAATTATTAAATTTGATACGTTTTAAGAACACAATGAGCGATTTGCATAATTATTCAAGTTTGGTTTCCAAAAACACTGCAAATCCACCCACAAATTGCCAAGCACGATAATATTTTTTCTTCTTCTTAAAAATGCCTTTTCATTTTCTATCATTAATTTTGGTATGTATGTGTAGCACCGAACTTTCTCGGGTGGGGGGGGGGGGGGGAGTGGGGGGGGGGGGGAGGATCATTAATGAAACTAGCGCAGCGGAATTTTGTATTTTGTTTCCCCACCTGTCGGTCCTCAGAAATAAGTTATCAAACAATTTATCACACATACACACATTCATACTCAATCAACAAGAATCTTGTCCATCTCGAAATAAACTAGAGAACTAGACAATATAAAGGAAATATTATAGGCTCCTTTATTACTAGGTAATAACAACATATATTTACAAAGAATATGTAACTCCTGGTTACATAGTTGTGGAACAAGTAGTTCCAAACTTAGCATGTAGTAGAGTAATACTGAACCTTATACATTAAAACCTTAAAGGTATAGCCCAGTTTTGGACCCCCCCCCCCCCCACCCCCTCTCATGAAATGGAAGCTCTTATTACCAATCATGTGAAAGAATATGTTTTTACTTATACGTGTGATGATACCAAATTTGCCGGGAAACCGCCTACTAATTGATATATTTGGTAAATTATTATATCTATCCGGACTGGATTGATATGGCGTAGTCCCATATACATCTTTCTGTGTACAGTGCTTGTAAATTTACCTAGACTGGGCCAAGTTTCTTATCATTTTGATGATTCCAGAATCTTGCAGTATACACACCAATACTTATATGCTAGATGATCAACCTTTTCTGATCAATTCCACAACGTTAATTCTTTCACAATGCAATCGCATTTCCAGAACAGTACTGGTCTATAACTTTAACATCATGGCAATAAGTTGAGAGAAAGAAATATTATCTCTATGGCTTAAAACAAAACAAACTTTGACAAAGAGGGTCTCAGGTTGACAGGGGTGTCATGGGTCGACGACCTTCAGCCTGAAAGGGCAGGAAAAACAAAAGTTATTGAAGACTGATGTTTCGAGGATGCTTCCTCTCGATCTTCGTAATAACGAAAGAGCATTTAATCGATAAAATATAGTTTAGCTACTTAATGACAAACTCATTTCTCGAAAACGCAAGTATTCAAGCATTTCGTTAATAACGATTTTTCTTTTGTATTTTTCTTTTGTTGTTGTTGAAGGGGTGTGGCGTATCACAATGTTATCAAAAGAGTTTAAATAAAAAGTGAAACTCATTTACGTCTGTTCCGTTCACTTTCCTAGCGTTTTTACCAGTCTTTCCGGTCATCGTCAAAGTTTAACCCCGGGTATTATAGTCTTGAACCTATCTAACTTGTCTGGATATTGTTTCGCCTCTAGCCATGAGCTATATTTTTAGTTTTGTTTATTCCGATCTATCTGTGTCAATGCCGTTCACAAATCTAAATGATCATGTTTACGGTTTCGATTCCGACTCGATGTGAGTTTGCTAGAAATGAGAGGTCGATATACATGCTTGATTGTAAATGAATATTAATTTTGTCCTGAAAGTAAAATTAACACTACAGAAAAAAATGTAAATCATGTTGGAGTGATGAGGAGGAGTAGGAAGAGGAGGAGGAAGAGGAGGAGGAGGAGAAGGAGGGAGGAGGAGGAGAAGGAGGAGGAGGAGGAAGAAGAGGAGGAAGCTGATAACGATGAAGATGATGGTGATGATAACGGTGATGATTGTGATGATGATGATGATGATGATGATGATGATGATGATGATAATGATGATGAAGATGATGACGATGATGATGATGATGATGATAATGATGATGAAGATGATGACGATGATGGCGATGGTGATGATGAGGAGGAAGAGGAGGTATGTGATGATGAAGTAGATGCATTTTCATTAAAAAATGCGACGAATATCTCTGAAAAAATGACTAAATTGAAGTTAGAGTACATTATGCATCGAATCTCTCTACTCCATGCTCTACACTTCTATATCCATTTTAAATCATCTAACAGGCTTATAATTATACCACATGACAATCAACTGGCTACTCATTAATAACTTTGCTATGGATGTGGTATTCCTCAAAGTTCCACTGCAAGTAACGTATTTAGATACGAGACCATTTTAGATTTAAGCCCTACACATATTTCCTGCGATAAGTTTAACTTTAGATAACCCTACGATTTAGCATGTTTAGCCGGGATGTTTAGCAGCACAGACGCTTTTTTCCACTGACCCCGAAGTTGCATTCAACCTCAAGCCGACCATGCAGGTACAAAAGGTTTTATTTCTGAGCTATTAAAGACATTCCAAACCAATGAGATCTTTTGGAGAATTACCTTCACAATAAAAGGGCTGACTCATTCAACAAACCGCGAACGATAAACATGGTTTAGGTAGACAGACTTTGGAACGGAATACAAGTAGAAAACACTTTTCATTCAACAGGCGCGATCAATATACAATGACGGAATCAGTAAGTGTATTCGCGATAAGGTAGAACCCCCCCCCCCTCTTAAAGGTACTTTGTCTTATTTGCAGCAAACATCAAAGTGTGTAAAACTTTGCAGGAGTTATGAATATGTCACGTATGACCTTTCTGTGAAATTTAAACGTTTAAACTAACCCTGTTCATCAATTTTTTCACACGCAAGACAGTGTTAGTTTTTACTTAATCTTATTTCAGTTTTTCCAAGCTTCGGAACAGGAACAGCCCCAACCAAAAAGAGGGAAAATAATTATCATTATTTTGATTTTACAGGTAATGTTTAGAAACAAGTGGTGATGACAAAGGTTCCATGAACTCAGTGCTCTGATAGCTGCACTTTATTTTTTTCAGGAGAGAAAACGAAAACTTAAGTGTCAGTAGGCCCATATAGGGTACTGCATGGAAATAACAGGACTGAGAGATTGATAAGATGTTGATTCGATAAGACATGACTGGCGCCCATAAAGATGGAATATTTATTCTTACCCCTTTTCGTGAAATGATTGAGACACACACTCTCTCTCACTTTGATCTCCCCTT